AAGCTTAAATATCTTGCCCAAGGTCACACAGTTCATGAGGTAGGATTAAATTCGGGGTCTTGTTGACTCCAAGTCCAGCAATCTGTCTCTGATGTTCATCCATTATCTTTGCATTCATTTCCCTCATTTAAAAATAAATCTTCCCAAATAGGGAAAATGTATTCTATCTTTTACATTAATTGTATCAACCATTAATTATCCTATTGATTATCAGACTTTTGTAGTTTCTACTATGTTTATTTATAAGGTGAAGCCCTTTTCTATCCCATCACATATAGGTAAAAGCAATTTTACATTACATTTATATGAAATAGAATTTCAGCCTTGCTCCTATTCCGTTAAAAGACAAACTGCCCTAAAACATAGTTCGTTGCAGCAATTCTGAAGGTGCATCCAACTGAGGTGCTAGTCAATTTCTCATAGAGAGAAAAGTTTAAAGAAAGCCCTAAATGCTGTATGGGTGGAATTGAATTTCTTGACCCCTTCTCCCTTCACAAAGTGTATCATAAGGCTGCCAACCTGAGGACGAGTCTTTTGTTTCCACTTTTCAGGTCAAGCTACAGAATGTACCAAATGGTTTATTTTCCCAAACTCTCCATCCTGTAGCATTTCTGCAATTGCTGATAAATGAAAGTCAATTTTGGAATCCAATCACCCTTATCAGAACTCTTCGCTATATATTTCTCAGGTTTAAAATCTTCAAATTTGATGTCCCCTTTTGCTAATTTCATTTTGAAGATCACTACAAGATTGCTATATAGCAGGAAGAGGTAAATGATGTAGGTAATGAATTAATTTTTTCATAAGCAACATGATAATCTATTATCAGTAGATATTTATTTTCCATATAATCCTAGCATTTCACCCTTAAAAAAAAAGCTTAAACCATATAGGGTTGTTGTATATGGTAATTGTGTGTTGTTAACATTTACATTCTTACTAGATGTTTTTGCCCAAATCTAGGAGAATAGAAAAAAAATTAGTATGAGGTTATCCAAAGTCTCTCTACATTTATTCTTTAATTACTAACTCTTGCCCTTTTATTTCCACTAATCCTTACCTCCATTAATGAGTGTTCTTAACTATACTCAGAGAAATAGGCATTGAAAGGTGAAGTGGAATGCCCAGCACCTTTGCATCATTTCCCGCATGACTGGGATGATGCGAAGTCCTATGGACTATCTTGCCATACATTCAAAAGCCTAGTTGACAGACATTACGAGGATGATGTGAAATCAGGCACAAAGAAGTAGCTTCCACTGGAGGTCTTTACTACAGGCATTCAAGGGAATGTTGCACAACCTCATGTTGAAGAGTTTTAGGAGAGATTATTATATTATAGTGGTTCAGACTAGGTAGCCTTTCCAACTATGAGATTCTTTGGTTTTTTTTTTTTTTTTTGTTTATGTCATTGCAAGATATATTTTGCTCCTTTACTTATTTTCTATGTATTTGTTGTTTTACCACTACTAAATCCCCTATATTAAAGCAAAGAAATTTTTGCTGTTATTCAGTCATTTTAGCTGTGTCCAACTCTCTATGATATCATTTGGGTTTTCTTGGCAAAGTTACTGGAGTGGTTTTCCATTTCCTTCTCCAACTCATTTTATAGATAAGGAAACTGAGGCAAACAGAGTTAAGCAACTTGCCTAGGGTCACACTGCTAGTAAAGGTCTGGAGCCAGATTTGAACTCAGGAAGATTCATCTTCTTGATTCCAACCCCAGTACTATATCCACTTCTCCACCTTGCTACCCCTAAGCTCAGAAGAAGAGCCATTTAAATACTTATTCATTTTTTATCACATAATGCTTCTTGTACCAATATCATCTCACGAATCCCAATAATCATATAAAGCAATCAAAATAACTTATTAAGCATCTAATATGGGCTGTGATTTTGGATACATACATGCATATGTATATGTGTGTATATACACACACAAGTTAGGATGTATGCCCTCAAGGAGTTGAAATTCTACTGCAGGGATACAACATGTTCATTGATAAGTAAATACAGTATACATACACACACACACACACACACACATACACACACACACATAAAATGAATACATGGAAATTTGGTCAGAGTTCACTGGGTGCATCAAGAAAGGTCCCTTGAAGAAAGCATTAATGGCTCCAAGACACGGCAAGACAGGGAGGAAGGAGATAGATTATCTGGCCTTATTCTCAACTCTAAGTATAGGAAGCTATTAAAGTCAGTCCTTTTCTTTATAATCCAATTTAGATGTCACTTCCTCCCTAAAGACTTCAATGCCTACTCCTATCCCCACTGGGGTAAAATGATTTCTTTCTTCTCTTCATTTTTCCAAACTGACCCTCTCATATCCTACCTTGTATGATATGTATTTTCATAAACATTAAAGTCTTTTCCTCTCCCCACCAGATAGAATTATGTTCATTGAGAACAGGAAACATATTTTACTCTTTTAGATTTGTATTCCCAGTGCCTAGCAGAATGACTTTCATATAGTAAGCACTTAATAATTTATTTGAATTCAGTAAGAAGTAGAGTATATGTAAATAGACTAAAATGGGAAAAAAATGAGGGGAGGAGCATTTTTACTTTATTATATAAAGCTCCTTATGCCAACCAACGTCAATGATTGACCACGAATGCAGGATTTATTTAATTAAGGAACGCTGAATTCAGTGATCAAAAGAGACAATATGCAGGATACATAAGCATTGCAGGAAGAGATAACATAAAAATTACAAGAAAGGGATAATTATCTTCAATATCACTGAACATTATTTCAACATCAGTTAATGTTATAACTGAAGATTTTATTTATGAAAAGCCCCACCTTAGGATAACACTACAGTGTTTAACTACGGAAAGTTCAAAACAACAAAAAATGAATGAAATGGGAACATTATCACCACAATTCAAAGTATCGCCTCTTACTTTATACACAGGTAATACTGTCTCTAATGCTGCTACTGCAAAAGAAATTAAAACATCCGTATTATTTCCAACATAATCATATAATTTAGTAATCTACACAGAATAATTCTGTGAATGCATTTTTCATATCATAGTGATTACATCACATCTTTAATACACTAATTTTGAAATTGTCAAACATTCAACGATGCACTCTCCTGGAATAAAGGGTGATAATTTTTAGTTTAATTCAATATCTCTGTGAACCTAGACAAGTTATGTAAACACTCTGTTTACTTTCCATGTAACCTGTGGACAATAATGCTTCTATGATCTACTTCATAAGAATATCCAGATAAAAGCTATAAAAATGTGAGTTATTATTAAAATGAGCCACCAGTTATCTTGCTTTAACAAAACAAAATTGAGATAGGAAAATATTTGAATAAAACACACCCTATACTGACCTATAAGAGTGGGGCTGTGGGTCAAAAACATTCTATCCCAGCCACGTGAAATGAGGCTTCACTGGAATTTTAGCATAATGCCATAACTGTGAGCTAGCTGATGGTGAAGAAAATCAGAACAAGAAAGTCCGAAGTAATAACAGGAAGCATCTGGCCTAAAAAAGTAAACAACAGTCAGTTTATCCAAAAGTTAAAAGGTAAAGGTAGAGTTCCAGAAGACATACAGCAACTGAGTTTCCAAGAAAACTTGATAAACAGGGCAGGGAGGAAAGATATAAAGCAAAAGTTGAGAGAGACTTGAGAAAAAATAACCCTTTGAGTGGCTCAAGGTCTACCACTGAGATATGTAGTAACACCAAAGTAGTGTTGGTAGGCCTTTCCCTTTCTTTTCTTCCTCATAAGCTATAGCTGCCACTGGCATGTAATGGATAATTCATATATAAGCCCACATGGTGGAGGAAAGTTGTCTCTTCATGATTATCACAATCTCATGTAGTTTCCTACGACTATCTTTCCTGTTACATTATCTTAAGATGATATCATCTGGGGGAATATTTTAATGGTCTATCACCTTAGCATTTTAAAATAATGCATTGAATAAAAATGTACCTACATTATGCTCAATGGTTCTGTACTTTGATGAATTCATCATAGTCCTGAAGTTAAAAAGATACATCAGGGGATGAAAGGGAAATTTGTCATAATTTACTCTCTATGGATTTAGTCCTTTGCTACCCACTCCCTTTCTTTGGGAAATGAGATTACTTCAATCTGCCTTGATAAATCATAGATACCTTGCTTTGCTTACTAAGAACATCAAGAACATCAATTTTGCATTTCCTGTCGTGAATTTACTTGAGAAAAAGAAAAAGTTATGACACTAGAAGTTTAAAGAATGATTAACTTCAAAGTTAGATACCATTAGGAAATGTAGCCAGGGCCAAAACAAATTGTGTCACCCAAATTGATTTTTATAGACTTTGGAAAATGATTTTTCAAAAGTGATGGTAATCTACAATTTCAAAAATGCCTTAAGAGGATAGAGATTTATCTCTTCTGAACTTTATAGCACTTCTGCACACAGTAGTTGTTTAATAAATTTATATTGAATTGGTTGACTTCATGGCCAAATTGATCATTCAGAAATCTCCCATGATACAATAGACTGTGATCTGGTTCAACTGAGGGATTACATTCCAAATGTAGATTCTGATTTTTGAGGAATTCTGCCAGCAAGTATACACATCCTCAGCTGTCTTATAATACATACATACAAATACATAGACCCGTCTTCTGTTTAATTATGCTACATGAGTCACTTCCATGTTACATTTCAAATAATTTGTCAGACATCAACCACTTTGCATGCCATTTGGATTATAGCTTTTAAATATACATTCCTAAATAGCTAAAAAAAATCAAATAGAGTGACAGTTACAATTCTAATTTGCAATTTCAGAAGGTGAAACATTAATGCATGTAATATTTGTTTTAAAAACAAAATTTTATTTGATGTTGGCATGAACAAAAAGCTTTAAATATGTCAAATAAGGTGTCTTGCAGTTTATAAGAGCCTTCTTACTAATTTTATGGTTTGTGTTGTGTGTTTCATGTGTGATTTCAGATTCAGAGAAATAACATGGCATAAAACATGGCTCAGTTCTACTACAAAAGAAATGTCAATGCTCCCTACAGAGATCGCATCCCTCTTCGGATTGTAAGAGCAGAATCTGAACTCTCACCATCGGAGAAAGCCTATTTGAATGCTGTGGAGAAGGGGGATTATGCCAGTGTCAAGAAATCCCTGGAAGAGGCAGAAATTTATTTTAAAATTAATATCAATTGCATTGATCCCCTTGGAAGGACTGCTCTTCTCATTGCAATTGAAAATGAGAACCTAGAGCTTATTGAATTGCTCTTAAGTTTTAATGTGTATGTTGGAGATGCTCTATTACATGCCATAAGAAAGGAAGTTGTGGGGGCTGTGGAGCTGCTATTAAACCACAAGAAACCTAGTGGAGAGAAACAGGTATGTGCAGAATTACCACCATTAATCATGAGTCTTCCAAATGAGATTCTGCGGGTGTTAAAGTACCTAATGATCTTAAGGACTATAATGAACCAGCCATGAGCTGTTAGACATGAAAATGCTTGTACATGTACTTTGATAGAAGCTATCTACCACTTCCTCTTCCTTTACATCTGTCTCAAATGATGAGGTGGCCTTTCCTCTTACCAAAGCTAACCCCTCTACCTGCTGAAGTGATCCTATTCCTTCCTGTCTTTTTCACCAGATTGTTCCTTCTGTCGCAGTCACTCTTTTACTTATTTTTAATCTTTCCCTCTCTACTGGCTTTTTTTTTCCTACTGCCTATAATCATGCTCATTTCTCCCCTATCCTGAAAAATATCTTCACTTGACCCTGCCATCCCACTAACCATCATCCTATATCTCTTCTGCTCTTTGTGGATAAACTCCTTGAAAAGGCCATCTATAATATGCAGCTTCACTTTTTATCCTCTCACTCTCTTCTTAACTCCTTATAATCTGACTTCTAACCAAAATTCTGACTGATCTGGCATTGTACCAAAATTGTTCTCTACCAAGTTATCAATGATTTCTTAGTTATTAAAATATATTTTTTAAAAGTTCATGTATCACAAGTTAAGAACCCTTAAGTCTAGACTATGCTAATTTAATTTTTTTTTGTTTTAGGATTACTCATATATAATAAGGACTACTAAAAGCTGGTTTGAGTGAATTAGGGGATATTTAGGCCACTTTTGCCACAGACTCCTTTTCCCCATTCAAGATGAGCAATGTCATTTAGAACTATATCTCAGGCATACACTTATGTAGGACTTAAGACTTTCAATTTCTTTCCTATCAGCAAAACAAAAATAGAAATTATTTTCCCAGTGGTGGTGATAAAATCATTGAACATTTGCTTATGCTATGGTTAACAGATGTCATTGGCTGTCATGCAATAACGAGAAACTTCAGGACAATGACCAATATTCCAGAGAGAAGAGGAACATTAAACTTAATTTTAATACTTACTATTAATATAATATATTGTCTCCATTTTCCAAAGGATGTTCACCTATGGATTTCCATAATTCTTATAAATGGCTTGTTTCTCTCAATCAGGCCAACATCATTTGTGTTTGCTATGGTAATTGGGCATCTGGGAAAGATATTCGCTATTATGAGAGCTTGCCTTGGAAGAAGTTCATCTACTGAGCTAAATTCTGTTCTCAGAAATAAGTGCTGGCACCTTGGAGGCATTTCGTCTGAATCCCTATAATTAATCAAAGACACTAAAGGTTTGGATCTGTCAGGAATCTGAAAGATTCCAGACCATATGTGTATCTGGTAAATTTCTTTCATGTCTTGCCTGTTGGCCAAACATTCCTTTTCTATTTGTACATTCCTAGTTTCCACTTAAATGAAGGTAGAAGAGGGGAGAGTAGCATGTCTTTTTAGTTAACTTTGTAATCCTGAAACAATGATTCACATACTTCACAGTTTTTGGTATACTGGTAGGGGAATGGTAATGTGACAATATGAGATGTTTTTGGTATAACACGCACCATGTTTCCCCAAGTTTTAGGGATGCCCAGTAGAGTTTAACAGCTCATCTGTTCATAACAGCTTAAATGAGATTCTTGTGCTTTTTGTGTGTTATGGACCCTTCTGGCAGTTTGGTGAAGCTTATGGACAGACCTCTTTTCAAAATAATTCTTTGAAATGAATCAAATAAAATATAGAGGATAGCAAAGGGAAGTAATTCTATCAAAATGCAGTTATTAAAATATATTTTTTAAAAATTATGTGCCCATATAAATCTATCCATGGATCCCTTGGGCATGGACCCTATATATTATTAATAACCCCTTCCATAAGTACCCTATATAGTGGGTGTGACATGCTATTCGGTGATTATTTTTGGTCATATACGTAACAGATATTATGTTTTGGGATGTCAAGCTCTATTGTCCTGATGTCTTCAGTAGTTAATTCATTTATTCCAAAAGAAAACCAATACTTCCCCCCAAAAAATGTTTTAATAGCAAGTATTCCGTAACACATAGGATCCTTTTATAATAATTTCAAGTGATTCTACTTCATGTCATTATAACTAAAAATGTCATTCAAGTCTACCTTTTGAAGCCCCAAAAAGCATTTCCTTTTGTTGTAATATTTCATGGAACCTGCTGATGCCAGTAGATAAAGACTGAAAGCAGTAACTGACAAACCAGGAAAAAAACATTGTCTAAGAAGCCTTCAAAGAAGTAACATAATTCCGAGATTTAAAAAACAAAACAAACAAAACAAAAAACAATCCATGATAAGGTCTGTTCCCTAGAAAGAAATTGTACTTCTCTAGGAAGATACCTAACAGAACTGTTTTACAAAATTATCACAAGTCAAGTTCCACCATCTTTTTCTTCCCTTATATTTTTACTCTTCTTTGAGAGAGAAAAATCTACTATTCTGAAATCTGTCATTTATTTTTGCAAATAATGTATCAGGACATCTCTGTTTTGTATGAATAGGAGATGGTGCTACTCCTCCTTTAGGATTATTGTCATTAGTTTTGAATTTGGGACATTATAAATATTCCAACATTTAGTTTCCTATGTCAACTTTACTAAATTATTGTTAATTATTCAGTTCAAAATTCACTTAAGACTCATCTGAAACCTCTTTTACAGTGTGTATTAAACCCTTCTTTTTAACTGCAATTATATCTAGAAAATGTTTTATTTTGCATGGTAATTGAATAATATTATTTAAATTATACATCAACTTTCAGGAAGTTCAGTAATCCATCACAGGTCAGTTTATTGACCCCTTAAGGGTTCCTTGTTATTTCATTGTAAGTGACTAAATTAGTATTTCATATTTCTTGTATAGTAATTCCTCAAGAGTTTTGTCCAGTGTCTTTCATATAGTGGGAGCACAATTTACGTTTATTAAATGAATGAATCCCTTTTTGGTTGGATTTAATGACACTGTGTAATTAGTTGGATTATAACAAGATTTACATCCTTTCCTGGAACTGCTTCTACCCAGGTAGGAAGTTATATTATCTTTCTGTGAACCTTTCTACTGATTCTTTTCTTACTGGTAATATTGAGGGTGACTCAGACTTATTGGCATCAATTGGTGAGTTACCTGCCTTTCAGTTTTTTTCTATGTAATCGATTTTATTCATGTCCTTTGAGATCACATCCAATTTTCATCGTAGCTGATTCAGAGTCTCATAAGAGGTAGGAGTTGTTTCTTAAAGTATTCATGTGGGGTATATGCTAAGTCACAGAGTATCTATACAGAGTACTTTGTATTGGGTTATAAATATTGTAATAAAATTGTTTGACAGGGTAACTTAAATAACCTGTCTTTACAGGGCACTTAGCAGTGTTTTATAGGAAGGAGAGTTCACCTATTACAATGGCATTAAAAAAATATCGGTCAACTTAAGACATATAAGACATCCTTTACTCTTAAAAAATTAAGATAAAAAGTGGCAAGCTCCTAATTCTTGTTTCTCCTTTACTCTTCATATTTGTTATGTAAACAAATCCATACTTTTGAAATATCTCTTGAGTTTTCCCCTTTCTCTTAATTCCCACTGTGACTCAACATAAGACTCTATCATGTAAAGTGATCTGCCATTAGCTACCAGATTCATGTTCTCATAACAGTTTACCAAATCACTCACTATTCAGGAATTCCTTTCTTTAGCTACTATGAGAACTAATCTCAAACATGACCAAAAAAATCAGTGAAACTAAGGGATTGTGTCCAATGATCCAGATTTCCTTCTTAGACATGCTTTCTAAAGCAATTCTGGGGGACGAAAGTGACAAAATACATTCTTCCCACCTTTTCCTTTTCAGTATAATGTCAAAGAAGTAAGCTTAAATCACGTTCTAGTTATTTTCTATATGATATATCCTTTCTTGTGGGAAATCAGGCTGAGTTGGAGAAAATTGTGTACCTCCTATCATCCAGTAGCAAGTACAAGCCAGCTGTTAAGGTGACCTTTCTGGAGCCTTTACAGGAAGAAGGGGAATATGCTATAATGAGTGGCAGTCAATATTAAATTCTCTATTAGTGAGTCTTTAGAAGCTGCCAATGTGGCTAACTCCATGTAGCAGAAAATGAGAGCATTTAAAGGCAGTTACAACACAGGTAAGACAGCAGGGGTGCAAATCACTGCAAAAATAGCCATCATTAAAATTGCAAACAATTCTCTCTCTCGAGGGTACATTTTAAAGTAAATGAATATGCTATATTTTTAGTTAGTTTAGGGTGACTTGGTCTTTTGAATAATAAAAGAATGGACTATTATAACCTTAGCGCCTTTGCCTCTTTGCTTCCTTACTAAAACCAGCAAATTAGAGATGAGCAATCCCTCCCTGCCAATTTTCCTCAATATTCTTCTCAGCATAAAGCTGAATTTGTTTGAAATCTGTCAGGGTCAAAAGCTATTAGCTCTTTCTGGAAACTTAGCAACCCAGATAAGAAATACAAACCATCCTCTCTAGCATTGATTTAATGCTTTTTGTTGAAAAAAAAAACATTAAAATGATTTGCCTACAAAAGAAGATTACTGTTGCTATTTGATAAATAGGAGCACTGAGGCATGGAAAAGACTACTAGGAATAAAAATATTCTCAGCTGTAGTTGTCATTTATATATTACTTCTTGGTAGTCATTAGTGTAGTTAGTATTACAAAGGAAGGCAGTTGGCAAAGTGGATAGAGTGATGGGTTTGAAGTCAGGAAGACTCATATTCCTGAGTTCAAATCTAACCTCCAAAACTTACTAGCTGTGCAACCCTGGATAAGTCACTTAACCTTGTTTGCCTCAGTTTCCTCATCTGTAAACTGAGCTGGAGAAGAAAATGGTAAACAATTCCAGTCTCTTAGTCAAGAAAACTCCAAATGAGGTTCACAGAAAGTCAGACATGACTGGACAACAACACTACCAAAGGAATAGGTATAATTGTACTGTGAT